TGGTATGTGCCTCTTTTATTGACGGCTTTCTTGAGAGTGTATTTATTTATTTCGACTTGAATTTTCAAGTCTCTAGATAATTGAGTAACTGAAGTATTCAATTGTAATTTAAAAGAAATCTATGATTTAGCAACTTAGATGTAAGACAAATATTGTCTTAGAAGCCGAAATATAGCCAAATAATTAATGTGTTCTTAAAGTAAAACTAGTAGTTCTTTTTTTTATTTTACTAGAAATAAGACATAAACTTTAACATTAAACTGTAATTGTTGCAATTAAATCTTTTAACTTTTGAAACATTGATTTATTTTAAAATAATGATTACTAGAATGATTATAGGACATTCAGCAACATAGAATCACATCGATCCATACACTCATGTGACAAGTAAAGATTGCGCGGGATGGTGTGAAATCTTTAAGCCGAAAAGCCAAGTATTTTTACAAGTCCGTCTGTGTGTCTGTGTGTGTGTTTGTGTGTCTGAGTGTGTGTGTTTGTGTGTCTGTGTGTCTGCGTGTCTGTGTGTTTGTGTGTCTGTGTGTGTGTGTGTCTGTAAACACGATTACTTGAGAACCATTTGAGTCACGTTGATTTAATTTCATGTATAAATTTTGTAGTTTTCTATGAACTTTTGAACAATTTTCGGTAATCGGAAGTGGGAGCACTCTTCTTCCGGTCTCTTAAACGCCGATAACTTAATTACCATGAAAGTCAGGTAGACGAAATTTCACATACAAGTATTAGATTAATGCGCATGTTTCTGTTTAACTTTTGAACGATTTTCGGTAATCTGAAATAAATCTTTATTTTATATCAGCGGGAACACGATAACTTGAGAACGACGAAATTTCATTCATAAGTAAAAAAAAAAAAAAAAATTACAATGGATACAATTCTTCCAGAATTTTTTCTCCGGTGGGAGGGGGGGGGGGGGGGGGGGTCGCGGTTAAAAGTATATATTTTCTATATAAATTCCGTTTCATTGGGGAGGGGGGGGGTAGAGATTTCTGAAAGAAACTCTGTACCCGATCGCTAGGAGTAGTGCTTTTCGCTATTTCCGATTTCTTAAAAAGGTAATCAATATTTCTGTTAGAAAGCACTAATCGTCAGCTCTACTAAACTTACACTGTTTGCGTTTATTAGATACCCAATTCTTATCTCGGTTCGTTTCTATTATGTTTAAAGGTTAATGTATTTAAAAATTAATAGATTAAGCGGGAATGATCTCCCTTAAATGTTCTGGTATATTCCTATATAACAGTAAATAAAGGGAGATGGCACTTTCAGGGCAAACTAGATTTGGACATCAAAGGAGACGTAGAAAAAATTTACAAATAAAACTTAAGCATGAAAATAATTCAGAAATTTAATATTTATAGAACCAAAGCTGCGAATCCAGAGAGGGAAGGGAGCGTCGAATTAAAAGTTCGCCCCAGGGCGTCAGGATGGGTCGCTACGCCCCTGCGCGTTAACTGGTCTGTGGAACTACTATGATGGGCGGGGAGGGTAAGGACGTGTTGCTACATGTGTTACGACACAGCAGTGGTAAACATGAAATGGTAGAGGGAGAGAACTGTGTTTACAGCCTGATCTCTGACAACATGAGGTCACAATGGCGCTACTTGATTTTTGGCAGAGGCAAGGTGACACATTGCGACGCTTAGAGCAAACTAACAATATGCGCCCCCCCCCCCCCCCACTACTCAAGATATATAGCAGTATATATATATATATATATATATATATATATATATATATATATATATATATATATATATATATATATATATATATATTTACTTAAGTATGTATGTATGTTTATTTATATACATATATAATTTTTTACTATATTCTTTTCTATATTAATTAATTCGTCTATGACTGATTTTACGCTTCTTGCTTCCCTTTCTTGTGTGAGAAAACAAGCACTTCAAGGAAAGATAAGCAGGGGAGATTACTTAATAGCATTTTAGGGGACGTAAATCAGTGTAAATACTGTAAAACGTGTGTTTATTTTATCAACCGACAATTTCGACCCTACTGTCACCTTTACGAAAATGCATCACTGCAGGTGGTGTAGATGGGCTAACCAGATTTTTTACGACGAACACGGCCTAATGATAATAAAATATTTTTATGGCCATTTATTGACAGACGAAGCCAACCAAGAATTTATCTTAAGAAATGTACAGCCAACATCGGTATACCAAGTCCATAATTGTATTGGTTTGGTACTACGTGTGCTATAGTCCAAAGGTAGTGTGTGGGTAAGGCTATATTGTCTGGTGTGTGGGTTAGGCTACATTGTCTGGTGTGTGGGTAAGGCTATATTGTCTGGTGTGTGGGTTAGGCTACATTGTCTGGTGTGTGGGTTAGGCTACATTGTCTGGTGTGTGGGTTAGGCTACATTGTCTGGTGTGTGGGTTAGGCTACATTGTCTGGTGTGTGGGTTAGGCTACATTGTCTGGTGTGTGGGTTAGGCTACATTGTCTGGTGTGTGGGTTAGGCTACATTGTCTGGTGTGGGTTAGGCTACATTGTCTGGTGTGTGGGATAGGCTACATTGTCTGGTGTGTGGGTTAGGCTACATTGTCTGGTGTGTGGGTTAGGCTACATTGTCTGGTGTGTGGGTTAGGCTACATTGTTTGGTGTGTGGGTTAGGCTACATTGTCTGGTGTGTGTGTTAGGCTACATTGGTGTGTGGGTTAGGCTACATTGGTGTGTGGGTTAGGCTACATTGTCTGGTGTGTGGGTTAGGCTACATTGTCTGGTGTGTGGGTTAGGCTACATTGTCTGGTGTGTGGGTTAGGCTACATTGTCTGGTGTGTGGGTTAGGCTACATTGTCTGGTGTGTGGGTTAGGCTATATTGTCTGGTGTGTGGGTTAGGCTACATTGTCTGGTGTGTGGGTTAGGCTACATTGTCTGGTGTGTGGGTTAGGCTACATTGGTGTGTGGGTTAGGCTACATTGGTGTGTGGGTTAGGCTACATTGGTGTGTGGGTTAGGCTACATTGTCTGGTGTGTGGGTTAGGCTACATTGTCTGGTGTGTGGGTTAGGCTACATTGTCTGGTGTGTGGATTAGGCTATATTGTCTGGTGTGTGGGTTAGGCTATATTGTCTGGTGTGTGGGTTAGGCTACATTGTCTGGTGTGTGTGTTAGGCTACATTGTCTGGTGTGTGGGTTAGGCTACATTGTCTGGTGTGTGGGTTAGGCTACATTGTCTGGTGTGTGGGTTAGGCTACATTGTCTGGTGTGTGGGTTAGGCTACATTGTCTGGTGTGTGGGTTAGGCTACATTGTCTGGTGTGTGGGTTAGGCTACATTGTCTGGTGTGTGGGTTAGGCTATATTGTCTGGTGTGTGGGTTAGGCTACATTGGTGTGTGTGTTAGGCTACATTGGTGTGTGGGTTAGGCTATATTGTCAGGTGTGGGTTAGGCTACATTGTCTGGTGTGTGGGTTAGGCTACATTGTCTGGTGTGTGGGTTAGGCTATATTGTCTGGTGTGTGGGTTAGGCTACATTGGTGTGTGTGTTAGGCTACATTGGTGTGTGGGCTGGTACATGCTGCCCTTATAACGCAATAACACGGTGCCAGTAATTGTGTAGGTAAAACTCAAGAATGTTTTGGGAACCGTTTTCTGGTTAGCAGTTCAGGTTACATATTAAACCCTTGTCGTTTTAACACGCGGAGGATCGGGCCTGGGTGGTTCGACCTCCGAATGTTCGAACCCAAATAATTAGGTATGGGAAGCTTCGACCCTTGAATGTTCGAACCCAAATAATTAGGTATGGGATGCTTCGACCTCCGAATGTTCGAACCCAAATAAGTAGGTATGGGATGCTTCGACCTCCGAATGTTCGAACCCAAATAATTAGGTATGGAAAGCTCCGACCCCCCCCCCCCCCCGAATGTTCGAACCCAAATAATTAGGTATGGGATGCTTCGACCTCCGAATGTTCGAACCCAAATAATTAGGTATGGGAAGCTTCAACCCTTGAATGTTCGAACCCAAATAATTAGGTATGGGATGCTTCGACCTCCGAATGTTCGAACCCAAATAATTAGGTATGGGATGCTTCGACCTCCGAATGTTCGAACCCAAATAATTAGGTATGGGAAGCTTCGACCCTTGAATGTTCGAACCCAAGTAATTAGGTATGGGATGCTTCGACCTCCGAATGTTCGAACCCAAATAATTAGGTGTGGGATGCTTTGACCTCCGAATGTTCGAACCCAAATAATTAGGCATGGGATGCTTTGACCTCCGAATGTTCGAACCCAAATAATTAGGTGTGGGATGCTTCGACACTAAGACTTGATTGTTCGGCGCTGGTGGTTTGACCACTGATATTTTAGCCTATGTGGTTTAACCCTGAATGGTTTAACCCTGGTTGTCCGGCCTTGTTATTTCGGCCCAAAAGGTTTGACCCAGCACTGTTAGCTACAAGGGGTTTGACTTATATTTTAGCAAGTACAATGTCGGTCCTAACGTCCAAACAAATCCCATAAATTTGGTTTTTAGTTATCTGACTAGAGGTTTGTGTTACTTGCTAGGTCCTTTGTGATTGTATTTGCATTTGAGTTATTATATTCTGTATCCCATACATATTGACTCTCAATTTATTAAAACTTGTATCACTTAAGCCTGGTATGGGATATGGCTTAGACACATGTTTGAACAGTCGAATCGTTAAATGTAGGTCACATATGTTTAAAGTTGACGAATGTAAACACGTTCTGAATGGTCACATAGACGACTACATTAAAAGTATAGTTTGGCCTCAAGGGGATTGTGCAGGTATTGAAAAAAACGTGTAGTCTCTAACTCTTCGTTTTTTTACTGCTGCTAAAAATAAAACCAACGTGATTGGCTCAGTAAGTGAGAAGCCGAAATTTGAACTTGTTTTAAATAATTGTAAACTAGATTTATACTTTACAGATATATTTGGACCTAGTATTTATACTTTATAGAAATATTTGGACCTAATATTTACAGAAACATTTGGACAATATGGTCTCAGAAGCATTTTTTTCCCAGAAAATGTTATTAAATAGATTCTTTGTGTAACTAACTTGGTCCATGGATTTATATCCGGTTAAAATATCACGTGATGCTGTATACCCGTGATCCATGCGATACTTATCAAAGTTGTGCTATAGTTTTATATTACACAAGGAAGATAATAGGACCGACTGTAGCGAGACGAAAGGAGTGGGTGCTAACCGGAGTGGGCGCTACCCGGAGGCCAGAAAGAGATTCCTTGTTAGACGGGACGGAACAAAAAGTGGTTTGTGGAGATGTGTCGCAGTGTGTCTATGGCGCTGTCAAATTGTGTCCATGTCAAATTGTGCCCATGACGGTGAAATAACAAATCAGACAGCGTTTTCTTATTGACTAGCAGGTAATGTCTAATGTTTCTCTGATGTTTCTCGTTTTATCCTATACATTTTGTAAATTCATGTTTATTTACTTATTTGCCAAATACTACATTAAAAGGTTCATTTATCTTAATATTTCTTTATAATTTTTGATGATGGTTTTGTCAAATATGATTACGACTTATCTTACATCAATTTTTAAATATTCATGAAGAGAAATATAAAAATCAATGAAGCTTTGTTATGCTTTTTCTGATTTATCCATGTATAAAATGTGTTTTTACATGACACATTGTTTAATAAAGTTATAAAGGATAATGAAATAAACTGGTTGTATAAAGGTATTTAAGTATTCGACTTGAGCTAACGGAAGATGAGGCGGAGATGTAGGCCTAGTGTAGGGTAGAGGTGTGGGGTGGAAGTGTAGGTGTAGGCCTAGTGTAGGGTGGAGGTGTAGGGTGTAGGTGTAGGCCTAGTGTAGGGTGGAGGTCGGGGTGGAGGTGTAGGTGTAGGCCTAGTGTAGGGTGGAGGTGTAGGCCTAGTGCAGGGTGGAGGTCAGTGTTTCTTCCAGACTTTTTACTCCGGGGAAGGGGGTGCGAACTAAAATTTTCGGGGAGTGGGGGAGTAGGGTTCGGAATAAAATTTCCGGAGGGGGGAGGGACGGACACTGCTAAAAGTATATATTTTCTATAGCTCTCTCACATTATAATATCTGCAATCTCGGGGCATTGATATGCCGATGTACCACTGTATATATATATATATATATATATATATATATATATATATATATATATATATATATATATATATATATATATATATATATATATATATATATATATATATATATATATATATATATATATATATATATATATATTGGTCTCGCGATACAGGAAGTATATTTGTTATGCCTTAAGTTATTCGACAACACGTCAGTTCCGTGTGTCTGGCCTGTTGATTAGGCTGCCTCGTGTAGCTTCCATTGTTAGATGAAATCAGAGAACGGTCCACTGGATCGGAAGGAGGAAGTTGAACGACGCACTAACATGTGTACTGTAGGCTTGCTTAGGGTCACTGCGTGAATCACAGTCGAAAGCTATAAAACAACAAGTGCACTGAAAATTCTATATTAGGGGTCGTTCATAAATGACGTAAGACCTCAAGACGTTGAAGTGATACTGGCTGTTTATGAACAGCGGTGGAAGGGTTTTCAGAAAGTGTTACATCACGCTTTAACATTTTTTTTTTATTTCACAATTTTAAAAAATCTTTTTAAAAATTCAAAATAACAAGGAAATTATTTAAAATGCCCCACTTTTTATCATCATCCCTTACCCTTTTTATGTTAGACATAGTACTAAACTATGGAGGATATTGTATAAATAAATAGAGTAAATTTTTCTACGATACAATTTGAACAAAAAAATCTTTTCACAGCCCGTATATTATTATAAATGAACTGTTTTAGGGTGTGGTTGTCTGTGTTATTTTCATAAAGTCTGATTTACGATCTAATATCTTTTCTTGTTTGTTAGATGCGTCAGCGATGATTTAAAACCAGTTTTTTTTTCATGGGAAAATCCGAATATAAATTTAGAGTATTTGTAACGTTAAATATTTACTTAAGTGCACTTGATCTTAAAGGAAAATTGTACATTTATAAACTACTGAAAAATTTTTAGTAAGTGAACTTAAAGAAGTTATATATTTTTACAACTGATTTTCATTAAAAATTGTTGTTCATATATATATATATATATATATATATATATATATATATATATATATATATATATATATATATATATATAGGCCAACTGTTTCGAAATATTTTTTAACTTTTAACGACTTTTTATGATACCTTTTTTCTGTTGTCCTGTAGAGTTAAAAGATGGCAGCCATTTTGGTGATGACGTTTGTTGTGTGGTTGCTTGCACACAAAGTTCAAGGCCACGGCAGGCTGCTGGAGCCCCCTTCTAGGGCGTCTATGTGGAGGATGGGGTTCAACACGCCCCCAAACTATGACGACAACCAGCTCTTCTGCGGCGGGGTTAAGGTAACTTGATGTCTTCAGATTTCAATAAGGTTGGGGGGGGGGGAGATTACCTAGGCCTACACGTGACTGGTGAAAGGGGGGGGGGGGCAAGATTGTCAACATTACAGCCTGCAGACTAATATAATTGTCTAGCCCATATATTTATAGAATCCACACATAACTCAAGTAAAATATAATTGATAATTGACGACAACAAATGAAACCCATAATTGTCCACTATCACAAAGTCCTTATTAGCCTGCTTTTGTGATTATGTATTAATTAATATTATTTCTTGAACTGTAGTTAAATTACGGGGTACGGCTAACCGAAATTTACCGTTAACTTTTGATTTTTTCTTCCATCAGGTTCAGTATGAGGACAACGGGGGCAAGTGTGGGGTCTGCGGCGATCCCTGGCAGGGACCTCTAGAACACGAGCCCGGGGGGAAGTACGCCACCGGCACCATCGTCCGGAAGTACAACGTCAATGACGTCATGCTTGTGGTCGTTGAGATCACGGCCAACCACAGGGGGTATGTCGAGTTCCGGTTGTGTCCTTCTGACGACCCTATGGCTAAGATAACCCAAGACTGTCTAGACAAGTACGTGCTCAAAAACACGACAGGAGCTTCGCGGTTTGCTGTTCCCGAAGGCGACTATCTGACACGATTGTTTATTAATGTCACCCTCCGCATCCCGACCGGGCTGCGGTGTAGAGCTTGCATGATACAGTGGAAGTATAATGCCGGGAACAGCTGGGGAACTTTCCCAAATGGAACCAGTTGCGTGGGCTGTGGGAACCAAGAACAGTTCTACGGCTGTTCGGATATCGCGATAGGATACGATGACGTCGTTCTTGGCGTCACCGCTAAACCAAATTACGTCATACCGGATATGACGACCAATGGCGTGAAGACGAATGACAGTATGCCGTGTGAGTACGCTGATATTCTGGGGCCGTGCCACGCATGTTGTACGCGTGTGCACGTGTGGCTAATTGGGGCAGCGGTTCTTTTTGCTCTCAGACTTTGTGTGATGTAACAGTGGGATGTAACACAGTGTGATGTAACACAGTGTGATGTAACACAGTGGGATGTAACTGTGTGATGTAACACAGTGGGATGTAACACAGTGTGATGTAACACAGTGTGATGTAACACAGTGTGATGTAACACAGTGTGATGTAACACAGTGTGATGTAACACAGTGTGATGTAACAAAGTGTGATGTTACACAGTGTGATGTAACAGTGTGATGTAACACAGTGTGATGTAACACAGTGTGATGTAACACAGTGTGATGTAACACAGTGTGATGTTACACAGTGTGATGTAACAGTGTGATGTAACACAGTGTGATGTAACACAGCATAAAGTAACACAGTGTGAAGTTACACAGTGTGATGTAACACAGTGTGATGTAACACAGTGTAAGCTATCCATCAATTCTTCATTGTTGGACCTTACTGTAAACCTTACAGAAACATGTTTTTAATGCACTAAAAATAATAGAAAAGAATCTTTCTTGAGCTAAATTATTAAAAATCAGCGTTGGTGGCACTAGAAATGTTTTTTCAGGACATTTTTGGATGACATTCCTCATGACTAAAGCAAACTATTAAAAACCCAATTGGCTTTTAATCCGTCTAATATCCTAAATTAAAAACACTCTACTTGAGTTGTATCTGACTTTTGTGAACTTTTTCTAAGATGTGTGGTCAGATATTTAACATGAACACCAATTCACCTGTAAAATCAATGACAGATCGGTTGGTCTTACAACCTAGTTATTTCTCCTGTTCATTATACTAGCGATTGAACTTATATTTAACTTATTGAATAGATTGAAAATTAGACATTGCATTGTCATCGGAAGTGAATGTATTTGGAAAATAAAGAAAAACCACTCTGTTAGCCAACAAGCAAACCAATCCAAGGACAAGTTAAAACTAACCATAAATTCTACCATAATCACCGAACAACATTTTTTCCCGCCAAACTCAATGAAAACCATGATCTTGTTGATTACAGCTCATAACTACAACATAATTTTAATTTCGACACACAATAATAATGTTTGATTTTTTAATATTTTTCAATAATGTTGATAAAATAAACATGTTTGTTACTATATCTTTATCCAGTATTTTTTTCTCTATTTTATTTCTTCTCGGCTTTAAAATGTTAGAATCAGTTTAATTTTGAGTTGTAACCTGATTTCAAAGAATTTCGTATTTTTATCACTGAACTGTGAGGACTGTTTTGATTCACTATTTCACTATTACCTACTCTTAATACCAATTATATTTCACATGAACTTAATAAAATAAATTGGGAGTGAGCTCCTCTTAAATTTCTCGTATAGTAGTATTTATCTGTAAGGACTGGTATGGCAAACGACAGTTTTGTGACAAAACTCTCGTTTTTCGGCAAAATACAAAAATGCGAAAGGTTCAGATTAAACCATAATATAAAATTATAAAATTTCTCAAAGTTTATGACAAAACGTAAGTAGAGAACAGCACCATTTCCGATTACCTGAAATCGCACAAGAGTATTTTTAAAAACCTACGTATAGGATCTACTTATAAATATATTTGCAATTTTTCCAACCTAACTGAAACGGTACTCAATGTATTGTTTTAAAGCCCACACACATACCCATACATACACACACATACACACACAACACACACATACGCACGCACACACACTTACATACACACATATGCACGCACACATACACACATACATACACACACACATACACTTGTAGACAGACAAGATGGCTAAAGTTAGTTTTTTTCCTATTCACAGTGTTGAAAATCTTGGAGACTCATCAAAATCGAAAACTCGTCTATTTTACTATCAGGGTACTTAATTTATCTGCTTTTAAGAGACCCGAAGAAGTTTAACGACCACTTCCGATCACCGAAAATCAAAAGTTCATAGAAAACGACAAACTTATAAATGTAATTTGGCCAACGTAACTTTAAAGGCACGCAAGTTATCGTGTTTACTGACACACTCTCTCTCTCACACACACACACAGAGGCACGCACGCATACGCACACACGCACACACACACACTATTATAAATCTGTATCAGTCCCAACAAAACGATGATGAAAACTGTAATACTAAAGCGAACATGGCAAGGCAAACTGACGCTGTAAATTACATGTCTGAGGCACACAACACAAGTCGAAATAACTAAATATAGAATTATGTGTAATCAAGAGAGCGTAGTGCTTATATCTGGCAACTTTAGAGTAAATGAGTAATGTGCTCTCCCATCGTTACGCAGTGGCGTAGGCAGGGGGGGGTAGGGGGGTCATAACCCCCCCCCCCCCATAGACCCCTCGGTATATAGAAAAAGTATGAGGGGGTGTGCAAATCGAAAGTTTGAGGGGGGGGGGGGGGGGTGCAAATCAAAAGTTTGTCCCCGGGTAAAAATTGGACCCCCCCCCCCCCCCCCCTTGAGACGATCCTGGCTACGCCACTGTCGTTACGTTATATTTAGCTTCATTTATTGGGCATGCCATTTTTTTAAACAAATGCATTATCGTCGCGTCAAGACCTACGTTAAAGTTTTGAAGATATTGGTCTGGTAGGAGTAATATTTTTTCAGAAATCTGAAATAACGTAAAGTCATACCTACGTTCAACGAAAATCAATTATCGATAGAATCAAAAGAATGATATACTATAACCATATTTAAGATTTCGTCTATCTAACGGATACGGTCTTAAGTTATTAGTATAATAGAACAAAGCTGTAAACGCGCTCCCTACCATCCCCACCCCTACATGGTGTTAGTGAGCTGTGGTTCACGCTATGTTTACCTTCGTGGAGTCGGGTTTAGTGACGACTATTAGGGGCAGATAATTTAGTTTGAAACGATTTTAAACGTTGTGGGGGGGGGGGGGGGAGGGGAGGGGGTTATGGTCCTTAACGAGCTACTTATAGTGTTTTAAAGAAATATTTTCAGTGTCAGCGTTGGTACTGTCAAATTCACAAATTATGAATTACTGAAAAGTAGAAAAAACAACAACTAAATAGCGGCATATGATACGCCGCGGGTCGGCTCGTGTTTTATATTTAAATTTATGATCATGTTTTTCAAAGATGTTATAAATAGTTCCATAGTTACAGAGGCGTAGCGACCCTACCCGGCGCCCGGGGACAAACTTTTCGATTTGCACCCCCCCCCCCTCGAGATTTCGATTTGCACCCCCCCACCCCATCGAGATTTTGATTTGCACCCCCCCCCCCCCTCGAGATTTTGATTTGCACCCCCCCCCCTCAAACTTTCAATTTGCACCCCCATCAACCTTTAATTTATTTTTTCCAACCCATTTTGGCGCCCCTTAAGCTCGGCGCCCGGGGACATATGTCCCCCCCCACCCGCCCCCCCCCCCTCGTTACGCTACTGCATAGTTACCTCCCTTGGAAATTTTACTAGGGAAAGAAAAGCTAAGGGAAATAATTCACTTTAATTTTTTAGCAGTAAATTATTAAAGAAATTATGTAATACATTAATTAAAACATATCTTAATTATGTTATAAAGTACAAATCATATATAACGTAGAGATTTCTGAGATATTTGGTAAATATTTTATTTATTTGTAACTGTTTATTTGAAATGAATATCCAGAAGGGCTTTAACCTTTCAAAAAGTACTTTCTTTTAAATTCAGTGTTTAACAGGTCGTTAGTGCTATTTGTAGTGTCATTGCGCGTGTTTTATTTCATTAACCCCTAGCGTGCCTTCATCGCCAAGGGTCAATTTAATGTCATGGACATTTTTGGAATGATAGATCAGTATGAGTATTACAGAGACACTTCTCCCACGGTCGATTCTATTTCTGTCCATGTGTGTCTACAATGTGAACTTTTGACTCCACAGCTAAAGACTGAGCACAGTGAAGAGAAACCGAGTTTGCACACCTTATTTTAGTCTAGTCTTATGCCATTTTATTTTCTCTCTTTGATTATTATATATGCAATTGATGTTCATATCTTTGATGCTGTGTAAAACTATCAAACAAATTACTATTACTGATTTAAATGTTTAAAACAATTGATTTAAAAAAAAAACTGTTTAAGGACTGTACAGATATAGATGTTTGAAAGGGAAGAATGTTTGCTTTGATGTGTCTCGTTGTAATAATATAACTTTTCCGATTGCTTAAAATTTGTATCATTTTAATTCTCTGTAATCACAAATTTATTTCAGCTCTACTTAAAAACCCAAATTCTACACCGCCCCCAAACCCACCACGCCGAGGAAAAAAAATCCCTTGAATCATCATTTAATTACACATTTGCATTTTCGTGTTTTTATTTTTTTTTGTTTTTTTTTTTTTATATTTTGACGTTTTGTATTAGATCTATGTATAAGTAAACCATCTTAAATGAATGAAAATAGGCTACAAGTAAGAAAGAAATATTACTATTGTAAATCTGTATCAGTCCTTACAAGCCTATGATGAAAACTGTAATACTAAAGCGAACACACAACTGACGCTGTAAATTACATGTCTGAGGCGAAAAAAAAAAAACAAAAAAAACATGGGTAGCCACATTTAGTAACAATACATATACCATTGATGTTCATGTCTTTGAAACTGTATAAAACTACAAAATAAATAATTATTTTAAATGTTTAAAATAAATTTATTGATTTAAAAAAACTTGGGAGGACTGCTATAGATATCGATGTTTGAAAGAGAAGAATGTTTGATTTGATGTGTCTCATTGTACTCAACATATCATTCCGGCTGCTTATAATATTTATAATATAATTTTGTTTCTTTAATCCCTAATTTATTTCAGCTCTACTTAAAAGACCAAACCGTCTCAATCCACCACGCCGATGGAAAAAAAAATCCTTTGAATCACCATTTACTTGCACATTTGAATTTTCAGGTTAAAAACTAAAATTGTAATTAGACGTTTTGTATTAGATCTATGTTTAAGTAAAACATCTTAAATGAATGAAAGTAGACTACATGAAAGAAAGAAGTGTTACTATTGTAAATCTGAATCAGTCCTCACAAGCCGATGATGAAAACTGCAATATTAAAGCAAACACGCAAGGCAAACTGACGCTGTAAATTACATGTCTGATGCACACACACAAATTAATTACCAATTTAGAAAGCAAACGGAAATTCAGTGACAACCGTGTTCTAGATCTAGATCTAGAAACTTTAATTGTCGAAGGGTTTTCATGAGTATAGCTGTCGGAAAGAGAAGAATGTCTGATTTATAGTCTCACTATATTCTACATGTCATTCATTCTATTTAGAATTCATTTCCCTTTAAACAGCAATTTCAAAAGAATTCTTACTGTTAATATGTCAGTCCAATTTTTTTGACTTAGGTATGTGTGAGGTATGTGTGAGGTATGTGTGAGGTATGTGTGAGGTATGTGTGAGGTATGTGTGAGGTACGTGTGAGGTATGTGTGAGGTATGTGTGGGGTATGTTTGAGGTATGTGTGAGGTATGTGTGAGGTATGTGTGAGGTATGTGTGAGGTATGTGTGAGGTATGTGTGAGGTATGTGTGAGGTATGTGTGAGGTATGTGTGAGGTATGTGTGAGGTATGTGTGAGGTATGTGTGAGGTATGTGTGAGGTATGTGTGAGGTATGTGTGAGGTATGTGTGAGGGTGCAGTTGATGAAGAAGGTAACAACTGCTCTACCAAATGTAATGCAGGGTTGTAGAAAGTTTGTATTCTACAGATATATACTCTCTACGGTGATCGCCTTTCTTCCTAGATCTAGTACAGTTTCTAGTTACGATTTTAAAAATTTGATTGCTTTAAGTGCGCGCTGTAAAGCGAAATTGTGTTCGCACACTTCAGCATCTTGTGAGTTTGGAAACGTCATTTTAAAAACTATTTCATTCAATCCACACTACACAGAAACAAATTGTATTGCTGTTGTCCTGTTATTTCTGCCTCGATGAAATTGTTGGAAACATAGACCGCAGTCATCGTAACGGTAAAGTACTCCAACGATCCCGATGTTCATAAGATAGATAACACCAGTAGATCTAGAAAAGATCTAGATCTAGTCTAGATCTAGATCTAGATTCTAAATCTAGATAGATCTAGTTCTAGAATAATGATGTAGATCTAGATCTAGATCTAAATCCTAGCAACCTAGAATCTTGATCTAGAATAGAAGATTTTTATACACCAGAATTTCTAGAATCGGTAAGTTGTTTAGGGTAAGGAAAATGTTATGTTGAAGGCGCTTAGTTTAGGGTAGCGATATCTGAAAAGATATATACTAGAGGCGCTATTTTTGTGGAAATAGAAAGTCGACATTATTTAAGGTCGAAGGGGTAAAGAAAAACTTAATAAGTCGACAAAGAGATTAACCAGTAATTAATCCATAGATTAACTACATTTAACGAATAACTAAAAAGATGAATTAGATATAGTAGATGAACCTAGGAAGAGTAGAAAACATTGCAATTTGTTGTTTCCAGAGTATCATAAAATGGGGGTGGTTACCCATGGTGCTTTGTTGACCTCGGCTGTGGCGATTCTGGTCTGCCAAGTTCAAGGTAACGGTCGAATGCTGGAGCCCCCGTCCAGAGCCTCGATGTGGAGAGCTGGGTTCTTAACCACACCAAACTTTAACGACAACAGGGTCAACTGTGGGGGAAATAAAGTATGTTCTCATATGGGATTTTGTGTGTGTGTGTGGGGGGGGGGGGGGATAAAGTATGTTCTCATAGAGATTTTTTGGGGGAGGGGGAACAAAGAATGTTCTGATCGAGATTACGTGTGGGGGTGGGGTGAATAAAGTATGTTCTGATACAGATTACGTGTATGTGGGGGTGGGGGTGGGGGGTAAAATATCTTCTAGTAGAGATAGTGGTTAAGGGGGGGGGGGTGTATAAAAGAGTGTTTTCTTTGCAAGAGGGTTAAATCTGTATAAATTTTTTAGGTGTGTAAATGTATGATTTAGTAGTTATCATCAGGGTATACTGGGTATGTTGATATTGCGGGGGTGGGGGGTGGGTATAAAATTAGATTTAGAAATATTTTGTAAAATAGGTAAATTTTGTATTCGTAAAGATGTAGGATAGTCTTATGTTTAAGAGCGTCTGATGTGTATAAAAGTGCGTGTTGATAGCGATGATGCAATACAATACGCTAAAGCTGTTAACTTTACACCAAAGTGCCGTTAAAAAAGTTCAAGTAAAGGGCGATAACAACAAAGCCGATGAAAGGTTATACTGTATGTGTATGTCACTGGAATGTTCTTTGTTTAAGTTGTGATATATGGGGTATGAGATTTGTTTGAAATAGCTTGACGGAAACGTGTGATGATTTGATGTCTTTAAAAAGTCCCAGAAATTCTTTGACGGAAACGTGTGATGATTTGATGTTTTGACGGAAACGTGTGATGATTTGATGTTTTGACGGAAACGTGTGAAGATTTGATGTTTTGACGGAAACGTGTGATGATTTGATGTTTTGACGGAAACGTGTGAAGATTTGATGTTTTGACGGAAACGTGTGAAGATTTGATGTTTTGACGGAAACGTGTGATGATTTGATGTTTTGACGGAAACGTGTGATGATTTGATGTTTTGACGGAAACGTGTGATGATTTGATGTTTTGACGGAAACGTGTGATGATTTGATGTTTTGCCGGAAACGTGTGATGATTTGATGTTTTGACGGAAACGTGTGAAGATTTGATGTTTTGACGGAAACGTGTGATGATTTGATGTTTTGACGGAAACGTGTGATGATTTGATGTTTTGACGGAAACGTGTGATGATTTGATGTTTTGCTGCAGGTTCTGCACGAAATAAACGGCGGGAAATGCGGCGTTTGCGGAGACCCGTGGAACGGGCCCAGGGAACACGAGCCGGGAGGGCTTTTCGCCACAGGAGCCATCACGCGCAAGTACAGGACTAACGACACAATCTTCGTGGTTATCGAGCTGACGAAAAACAACCTGGGGTGGTTTGAGTTCCGGCTGTGTGAGTCTGACGACGCCATGGAGGAGAAGACCCACGAGTGTCTGAACAAGCATCTGCTGGAGGACGTCTTGGGCGATTCTCGGTTTGACGTGCCTTTCCCGGAGTACGTGAACAGCAAGCTCCTGCAGTTCTCGCTCGTCATCCCCGAGGGCGTCAGGTGCAGGGCGTGCATGCTGCAGTGGAAGTACCACGCCGGGAACAGCTGGGGGGTGGGGCCGGACGGGGTGGGCTGCGTGGGCTGCGGAGACCAGGACCAGTACCACGCATGCGCCGACATCGCCATAGGGTACGATGACGTCGAGCTGGGCAAGACGGATCGACCTGTGGTCAATATATGGACCACCACTAGCCCGCCCACTACCACACCCGAGTGTGACTGTGAGTGTTGACACCTCCAGTCTACCATGAGACGACCACCAGACAACCACCAGACGACCATCAGACGACCATCAGACGACCATCAGACGACCATTGGACAACTATCGAAACTAAACTCTTCGGAGCTTCTAGCATGTTATTTTAAATTATTGTTGAATGAATGCGTGCTAAAAGAAATAAAATTAAATATCATGGGAAGAAAAAGAAGAACAAGAAGAAGATCTTTTAAAAGTCCCTCATGAGATAACTCTGAAACAGAAATTCTCCTGACTCACCTGTTGGAACCAACTGCCGGGTTTTAGACTGACCTTTCGTTACCTGAACAGAACGAGCGATGACCTCGCATACACTAAAAAAATATTTTACATTCTGTTTTATTGCTATTGTAGTTTTTATTTTTATAAAACCATTTTAAGATTACAGTTAATAAAATGTAATTTGAGTTGATTTTTGTTTTGTCGTTGACATCGTGATTCAAGTGTCGATCTTTATTAACGTATTTAAAAAATAAATAAAATGTTTCTATTAAACTCAAGCGGTAGAAAGCTACACTGCTAACCTGAAAGTCTCGAGTTCAAGTCAGTAGAACGTCCCATAGTCCACCCAGCTCTGATGAGTACCTAACTCACGTAAAGACTCACGTTAGGGAAACAAAGGCTGCCAGGCAAAGTGCTGACCACGCTATCCCTTCCTATGCCGAGGTCTTTGAAACAGATGAACTCTGCTTCTTCTGCCCCATGTGTCTTGGGCACTAGCGGGAAATGTTGATTTTTAATCTAAAAAAAAAAACGCAACTAAAATTTATGTCCGTATGTCTGTCTGTGTGTGTGTGTGTGTGTGTCTGTGAACACGATAACTTAAGAACCGTTACAGCTAGTTTGATAAAATGTCATATATTATCTCAAATTTGTAGTTCAGTATAAACTTTTCAGCGATTTCCGATAACCGGAAGTGGAACTTACTCTACTTTTGGTTTTTCAAAAACCTATTACTTCAGTACTGTTTTAGATAGATAAATGAAATTTCACATGTAAGTAAATGATCTAATGCTCTGAATGCTGTCAAATTTTGAGTAATTTCCGTTGACCGGAAGTAGTACTTTACTCTATTTCCGATTTCTCAAAAAAAGCATATGAATTTATAAAATATTAATAATATTCCGCACTATTATACACATTTTTTGCCGTTCACATGGTGCGCAATTCTTTTTTCTACGAGATTCTATTCTATTGTTAAATAATTAAAAATTGATTAAAAATCAGGTGTATATCCCGAGTAACATTCCCCTTGGTGTTTATAAGAATATTCGAGAAATTTTAGGGGAGATCACTCCCTCTTTTTTACTTTCTCGTATATACGAAGTATAGAGAAAGTCTTGTAATCGTGCAAAAAAAAAAAATCGAGATTTTTGTAAATCTCGACGTTTTACATCTCACTGATACGGAAAAACATAATTTTGCAATCTTGTCCGTATGTCTGTGTGTCTGTGTGTGTGTCTGTGTGTGTGTGTGTCCGTGTGTAAACACGATAACTTGAGTACCGTTACAGCTAGATTGATGAAATTTCATATACAAGTATTTTATCAAAATCGTAGATCCGTATCAACTTTTGAGCGATTTCGGATAACCGGAAGTGGTACTTTTTCTACTTTGAATTTTTCAAAAGCCTATAACTTGAGTACTATTTCAGATAGATAAATGAAATTTCACATGTAAGTAAAAGATCTAATTCTCTACCTTCTGTTAAATTTTGAGTAATTTCCGTTGACTGGAAGTAGTAATTTACGCTACTTCCGATTTCTCAAAAAACTAATGTAAATTTTTAAAGTACTAATAATATTGCGCACTATTATACGCGTTTTTATTCGGCGTTTGCTTGGTGCGCAATGTTTTTTTTTATGAGATTCTATTCTATTTTTAAAAGTTTAAGTATTTAAAATGGATTAAAAATCATAACTATATCCCCAGTTACCATCCCCTGTTGTTTTATATAAGAATATTCGAGAAAGTTTAGGGGAGATCACTACCGGTTTATTAAAATACAAAATAATCTAATTTTTTTTCATATTTAAACTGTAGAGTTTTGCGCACTAACAAGCAGTGCAATTACGCCTACCATTGAGCACCAAGGCTAACTCTTCATGGTTTGGAAGTGACGCATATTTAGATCTGCATGCTTTGGCTTTGTTGGTTTACTTGTTTTAGTGTGCTTTTCATCTAGATTAACAGCACTGTTTCATTCCTATTTAGACTTTTTATTTTAAATTAGTTTGTGATGTAGCTGTGGATAAGAGGAAGAAAAATTGTGAGTTGACATTGGATTTGGGACCCGACTTGATCAATCGTGAGTAGATTAGTCACCATCAGGGAATAAATTCGGTAATCTGTCGTTTTGGGTACGTAAAATCGCCCGCGACTTGTAATGTGAAAAACAGGTGACTCCTTTATTTTAAAAATTATTTCACATTTTGAGGAGGATTTGTTTTTTTTAAATACAAAAATGTCTGTTTTTCAGTCTTTTTCTGCTGTATTGCCAAAACCTCTATACACATGGCTAGAAGCGGTGAATCATTATAATCTGTTAGAAGTGTCTTGTACCTCTAGCTAACACGAGATATAGCCGAAAGTATTTTGTCTTCTTCTTCTTCGTCCTCAACTTTAATATTGCAGTGGATTTCCTCCAAAACAATTTGCTATTATGTATCGCCATATGGTCGCCATATGGTCAGCCTGCTTTTCTTTCTAGGTTTACTTCCTTTGTCCAGCAAAGAAAATATGCAAAGTAGTTCCTGTAGCTGCATGATTTTGGAGTTTTCTCTCCTACAAGGATTTCTGTCCCAAGCTAGCGTGCAACATTTGCCCTGGATTCCAAACTAGACTTTTTTTGGATTAGCAATCAAGGATAACCTAAAAAATAATAACTTTTTTTTAGATATTCAATTTGTACGTTAACTTATAAAGCGTTTTTTATTTATTTTTGTCTGTTTGATTACATGGAATTGGAATAGTTTGCCTTAATTAGGAATTCTGGTTTGATTGCAACTAATTATTGTATTATACTGTGACTTGAGGTTCGGTTGTTTTTTTCAATGCATACAGGATTTTGTCTGGTTCTAGAATTTTCTAAGAATGTGGGCCACTCATTGGTGGGAGGCGTGGTTATTGGTCATTGTGCTGATAGCTTCCGGTGTGTCAAAAGTTCAAGGTAACGGCAGACTGATGGAACCACCCTCGAGAGCCTCGATGTGGAGGGTGGGGTTTAACACCCCACCTGACTTCAATGACCACGCCCTATCTTGTGGTGGCTTGAAGGTGAGTTTTAAATGCAACTAGTGTCAGTTTGCTTCTTCAGGTTATTTCCACTACCCATATCCTTTTATTTGTTGGCGTAATGCTAAGGGGTCGTCTATACATGACGTCACAACAACAATCGTATTTTTACTGTTCATCTGGGACCAGTTTTTCTTTCAAAATTGTTTTCTCCGGGAGGGGTGGGGGTGGAGACTTGAAACCTTTGGGTGGCACACTAATTTCCGTGAGCTGGGAGTATGTATTTTCTATATACATTTTTTTTCTATTTCGTCCGTGGACACTGTGTTTGTTTACTGTTGAAATATCGTAGACACTGTGTTTATTTACTGTTGAAATATCGTGGACACTGTTTGTTTACTGTTGAAATATCGTGGTCACTGTGTTTGTTTACTGCTGAAATATCGTGGACACTGTGTTTGTTTACTGTTGAAATATCGTGGTCACTGTGTTTGTTTACTGCTGAAATATCGTGGACACTGTGTTTGTTTACTGTTGAAATATCGTGGACACTGTGTTTATTTACTGCTGAAATATCGTGGGCACTGTGTTTGTTTACTGTTGAAATATCGTGGACACTGTGTTTGTTTACTGCTGAAATATCGTGGACACTGTGTTTGTTTACTGCTGAAATATCGTGGACACTGTGTTTATTTACTGTTGAAATATCGTGGTCACTGTGTTTGTTTACTGCTGAAATATCGTGGACACTGTGTTTGTTTACTGCTGAAATATCGTGGACACTGTGTTTATTTACTGTTGAAATATCGTGGTCACTGTGTTTGTTTACTGCTGAAATATCGTGGACACTGTGTTTGTTTACTGCTGACATATCGTAGACACTGTGTTTGTTTACTGTTAAAATATCGTGGACACTGTGTTTGTTTACTGTTAAAATATCGTGGACACTGTGTTTATTTACTGTTGAAATATCGTGGTCACTGTGTTTGTTTACTGCTGAAATATCGTGGACACTGTGTTTGTTTACTGCTGACATATCGTAGACACTGTGTTTGTTTACTGTTGAAATATCGTAGACACTGTTTATTTACTGCTGAAATATCGTGGGCACTGTGTTTGTTTACTGTTAAAATATCGTGGACACTGTGTTTGTTTACTGTTAAAATATCGTGGACACTGTGTTTGTTTACTGTTAAAATATCGTAGACACTGTGTTTGTTTACTGCTGAAATATCGTAGACACTGTGTTTGTTTACTGTTAAAATATCGTGGACACTGTGTTTGTTTACTGTTAAAATATCGTGGACACTGTGTTTGTTTACTGTTGAGTATACGCTGACGTCACGGATTTCAGGTTCAGCATGAAGAGAATGGCGGCAAGTGCGGGGTTTGTGGCGACCCCTGGCAGGGCCCCAAGGAGCACGAGCCGGGCGGGAAGTACGCGACGGGCGCCATCAGCAGACGATACAGTACTAGCGAAACAATCCGGGCCGTGGTCCAGCTGACAACCAACTACAACGGCTGGTTCGAGTTCCGCCTCTGTCCTTCAGACGATCCCCTGGACCAAAAGACCCAAGAATGCCTGGACCAATACTTGCTCAATGACACCAACGGCCGGAGCAGGTTCCCCGTGCCGAGCTCTCCTCACATGAAGATCAACAACATCCAGCACAATCTCGTCATCCCCCAGGGTGTCTTCTGCAAAGCGTGCCTGCTTCAGTGGAAATACAACACGGCGCAAAACATGGGGACTCCCGACGACGGAAAACAGGAGGAGTACTACGGCTGTGCGGACATCGCCATAGGATACGATGACATAGAGATTGGCGTCACCCAGAAGCCGCAGGAAGAAGAAATCGCCTCGACTGCCCGCCCCCCGGCCGAGAGTTGGAACATGGGGATTGAGCATTTCAATGCGACCGTCAAAAGATGTCAATGTGTGTGCACAACTAAACGTCTATTCCTATCTCGGTCTGGGGGTCCGCGCCTGGTAACTGTTGCTGCTTTGGTAGCTCTGCATTTTCTCTTCGCCTGTGTGTGGCTGGAATGTAATCTTTGATTTTATTAAATGAATGTGTATCTTATGTAAAGTATCCAGGACTTAATAGAAAAAAAAATATTACTGCTCATTTAGCAAAATTAGAAACGCGTTTACTTGACATCTAGTCAGGTAATTTGTACTGGTATGGCACAATATTCCTACTTAATCCGGCTAACTATTTTTAAAATTCCTACTTTATCCAATGATCCACGTGTGAAATTTATGTAAATGAAATACAAGCAACACCTGCTCTTTTGTAAATAATTGTTTTAATACATGCTATAGCAAAGCATACATATTAATACATATGACAGCTTGTACAGTATAACCAAGAAAAAAAACCAGCCATGAAAAGAATTCTGAGCCTCCAGTTCCTAATCAACTCTTAAATTTCCAGTTTTATAAGAGCATTATTCTTAAAATAATATATTTAACAATATTTACCTCATGTGGCCTATACATTTTGAATCTTTACTGTTTTGTTACTACAGAATAAAATAAAATGTTGACTTGAAGTGGTGTATTAGTTTTAGAAGTCATATTCGTTTTTTTTTCTTCCCTTATTTATTTTTTAGACTTTAGCAATCTTTTGGCAAAAAACAACAACTACAGAACAATTTTTATATCCTACCTCCAGATTTTCAAAAAAAAAGGCCTTTTTTACATACAATTTTTAAATCTTAAATTATTTCCATGAGTCAGTCATCAGTCAGTCAGCCAAGAGTCAGTATTCTGACAACTATGGGTCAAATGTTAGTCATGGACAAGGATTGCAAGAACTTAATCATAACAATTACCTTATCAACAGGTATTCTTTAAAGCATAATACAGGAATTATATTTGGAAAATGAAACAAGTATGTTAGAATACAAGAAGGATACACTTCTTTGCCACACCATGCAATTAATAAAAACCTGGATTAGACAGCTTTCTTCTAGGTTAAATGGATGTGTTCAATCATTTGATCAAGTAATCAAATACAATCTTTTTAACCAATCATTCATTGTTTATTTATTGCATTCAAGGAATAATTGTAAGGAATCTTTAAAAGACTTAATCTCTTATTTTAAAATTATTTGTAGCCTGATAAAATGTTTGCGGCCAGCTTAGATACCATCTTACGAACAACAGGTGTTCCCTTAACTACAGCTGCTAACCTCAAATGGAGCCAAATGTCTAGTCTTGATACAAGAAACTGTAGACTGAATGAGTATTCAACACTTTTGGCACTCAAAAAACTACAGCAGAAGTAAAAAAAATTGATTACTTATTAGTTAATTAAGATTGTGTTAAAAAAATTTTAACATTAAAATAAAGTTAACATGTGTCAAGGATCTTTTTAGACTTGTCAGCATGAATTTTTTAAAGTTCAAAATAACACAAAAATGTATAACACGTCATGTATGCTTTTTATTGTCATCTCTATGATAAGTACAGTATAGAAATAGGACTGAAAAAATAGCTGTCTAAATGCATATCACCATTATCCTAGTCATAAAACAAGAACTTAATAATGGGATGGTGTAATGCCATGAAATTGATTTTTTAAAATGGGATTATATAATGCCACGAATGAAAATTTTGAATGTGGGATTTTTTAATGCCATGAATGAAAAACCAATAACTTTGATCAAATGGAAAAATTAAAAGGTGGGAAATTCCCAAACACAAATGGTTAATGCCCAATAAAGCACTTTAGACCTTACCAAATCAACTTGCTCCAAGGATTAACCAAACATGTTTTGTCAACAAATAATTTGCATCAACAAAACTTATTTTTAACAAGAGTTATTTAAAAATATTTTAACCTTTTTTATCTAACTTTACATTCATAAGCTTAAAATATACATTAACAAAATAAACTATTGTTGTGTTCAATACAATAACCCTATGTTTTACAATACAATCAATGCTAGACAAAAGATCGAATCAAAACAAAAATATTTGGTTGAGATAAAAAATATTTAACAGTAGGCCTAATTCATAAACAAAAACTTAAACACATTAACACCACACACTGTTGACAATCAAGCATTTCATAAAATTAACTTCAAAGTACAATTCAATGCTGAATCATGTGTAATATAGAATTATGGCACATCTAGTCTTGGGTTAGATAAGTGTCTATGTAAGGCAGTGATCACCAGTCCCAGCCAACACCAATGTTCTGGTGTTAAAAAGAAATCAGAAGAGTTCCAGTCCGTTCAGCTCGACAACACTTCCACCACTGGAAGAGGGGGTGAAGATAGGTGGTGAACATAAGCGCCAGTAGAAACACATTCACCTGGTCAATGGATACAAAAACACTTCAATTACTCAAATTTCTTAAAAATATTTGATTAATCCAAATAAGTTGTAAAAGATTCTTCCCTATTTCCCTTTAGCAGAATCATATACCACTGATAAAAAGTTGAAGCATATCGTTATGGGTAGGCTTTGTAGTTGTTTAACTAACAACATGGTGATGTTAGCTATACAACTGTCATCTAAGTAATCTATAAGTACTAGTTTAAAGAACTTTTTAAAAAATTACCGAATAAAATCCATGAGACTCAGCTATAATAAAGAAGACATATTGTAAGAAGCTTACAACTCCTCCCACTATGATTAAAAAACCATACATGATGCCAAAATATTCACTTGGAAATCTGAAATGTGATTTTTTTTAAAACTTTATTTTTATTTACACATATTAAACAAAGAAAAAAAATGGGTATGTCCACATAAACAGGAAATCATTAATAAACAGCAAATCACAATTTGCCAAAATTAGACAATTAGACAAAAAAAATTTTTTTTACTGAAAAAAATTAAATTTGTTGTGTTTTAAATTGTTACCAACTCAGACTAAGCTTACTTTGGTAACACTTCTGAGTTTAGTATTTTAAAACAAGTTTTAACTATATGTAGTGCACTAGATAGAAAGATAATACAACATAAACACAACTAAATAGACACCCTAAATGGTGCACAGATAAGCAGTTAAAAAACCAAAACTACAGCTTACATGGCACTAATGTACCCAGCTCCAACTGTGTACATGAACGACCTGAAGAAGAGCAGGAAGACAAAGACAGCATACAGGACAGTTGGCTCTTCTATCAACATCAGCACTGACATGACAATACACAGCGTTGTGCACAGTGCTAGGGGGATCACGGAGGGCATCAACTTTTTCCTTAAAGCTGACTTGCTGTCTGGGTGATGATAAATTATTAGATATCTTCATTTCAATTTATGCAAACAAAATTGTTAGAAAAGATTTAGATATAACACTTATTTTAAAGACAACCTGTTAAAGGTATTGAGTTTTTTTAGAAGAAAATAAGTAGTTGACTTACTGACAAAGAACTGTTTCTGAATGTCACAGAAAATGCCAGCAAAAGGGGATGTGGCAACACCACACATCAGCACAATAATCAAAACATTGGTGAAGTGACTAACTGCCAAAACAAATACGCATATATGTTTTTATGTAATCTGTATTCACATTGATTACACTAATTTTGCTGATGATTTGTAATAAGGTAAATCAGTTCATTTTAAAAAATATAACTTTTTTAAAGACTTTTCAACAAGAGATAAATGAAGAAAGACATTACACCTCATCCCTCCAACCCACTTCAAAATAGAATTTTTTTCTTCTATTTCTTTCTGAATGTTTTACTGAGCTTGGTCAACAAACATCTTAAAAAAAAATGAAATAATGGCAAGCATTCAAATCCAACATCACTTTTTAAAATGCTAAGTGTGTTAACACTAGATGGAAATCCCCACTCCCCTCCCAGGAATGTGCCACCATTTCTTATAATCCTTTAATTAAGAGTCTACAAAAAGGAAAATGTCAGCAAAAAGCCTAAACATTATAACACTTCTTAAGCATGCCTCGATAGTTTGACAAGTCCAAATGTCACAGACAGTTTGATCGATAAGACCCACCTTGCTCCTCTGATGAGAGAACTGTCTCAAATGTCTTGTTGAGTGATCCCAACAAGAAGTAGAACCGCAGCTGCAGAATGCTCAGCCAGAAAACATGGAAAATGTAAATCATTGATCGCATGCATGCCAACAGACTTGGTTTCTTTTCTTGAACTTCAGTGTCGCTAGCAAAGCCTGCAACAGAATCAAGATCATCAAAGCCAAAGCTTCAAAATGATATTTCCCTACATTTATAGTTTAACTTTTGTGTAAAATTTGTAACAGTGACAAATTTAAGTAAAGTGTAAAGTAAACAAAAATTAGAGCAGGTAAACCAAATTTAACCTTTTAGTTCAACCGCAGCATCCTGGTCACCAGCAATGTCATCAGGCCTTCGGTTGACGGCTTTGACGGGTTGCTTGATAAAATCTTTAGGCAGGAAGAGGAATGTGCTTACCAGTGTCACTAGATTGGTAACTGCCAGGATAATGTAGGACGTCTTTCTGGAAATGCCATTTTCATGGCCGACCTTAATAACAAAAAAAAACAATCATTAGTTAATACATCATAATATGTAGTTAAAGATACATTATATATATGAAATAATTATCAGAAATTAGAGTAGTTAAAAAACATGTCTGTATTAAGCATGCGGTTTAATAAAATACAAGTAGCGAAGATTTATCTTTGTGTGACTTTTATTAATAAGCATTAAACGTTAATAACCAATTGAGCATTACTAACAATTATTAGAGAGTAAATTAAATAGTCTTGAAAAATTAAGTTTTTTTAACATAGTTCAAATTAACAATAAATGAAACGGTATAGGCAGAATGTTTTATTAAATATGTGAGTATTAATAAAAGCTGTAGGTTATGCATTTTTTTATTTTAAGTAGAAATAACTTTATCAATTAATTTTAACAGACTAGTGGTTTGCTTGGCTGTCCATACAGTTTAAACTGTGTGGTTACTAGGGGTGAAAATTTAATACCATTGAACTAAGCTGCGTAACACTACCAAAAATGTCACACCTATAATGAAACACCCTAACTGCAAAAAAAGTTGCTAACAGTTGGCATTTTTATCAGTACCTTGACGAGTAGCTGAACACCGGAGGAGGCATCAAACCCACCACACAATAACCCAACAATTAACGTCCCCAATTTGGGAAACAAGACAGAAATTTGCATGTTGGACATAAGGAAGGTTATGCCCCCAGCACCAAGCATGGAGAGACCAGGGAATATCAGCCAAGGGACATCTGATACAAAAAAATAAATTACATAAACATCATACAGATGAAGTTAGATTTCGTAATTAAGCTGTTATTTAAAAAATTAGTTTTTAATTTATATTTTCTTTGTAAAAAAACTACTGTAGTATATAATATAGGAAGGTCATCACCCCAGAATAACAAGGTTCTATCAGCTTTATTAGGATGAATTAATTAAAGCC